CTGGCGGGCAGATCAAGCTGCTAAGGAAGCAGCCCAGGGTGCAAGTGCCCCAGTCGGCGCTCCAGCTCTAGAAGGAGCCGTGTTAGATCTCAGCCTTACGCAATTGGACTATACTTCTGAGGAACAAAAGTGGGCGATCCAGACGGGGTGTACTCAGACGACTGGCATCTGGGAACCACCAGATGGGCAGCTGTATGTGCCCCAGACCCAGGCGAGCAATCTAGTGAGGCAGTGCCACACCCTGACTCATCTAGGGGAAACGTCCCTGGAGGCCTTGCTAAAGAAATATTACTACTTCCCCGACCTGGCCAGCATAGGCGCTACAACTGTGGCCCAGCGTACAACCCGCACGCGGAACTACGCTGCTCCACACCCACAAAGGACCGTCGCCATTCAACACAGGACAGCAGCCCTTTGAGGACTTGCAGGTCGACTTCGCGGAAATAAAGCCAAGCCGGGGTTACAAGTACCTGTTAGTCCTTGTCTGCACCTTTTCAGAGTGGGTAGAGGCTTTCCCCACCCGGACTGAGGAAAGCCGAGAGGTAGTAAAAGCCATTTTAAGAGAAATAATTCCCCGCTTTGGACTGCCGACCTCCATCGGCAGCGATAATGGGCCAGCCTTTGTTGCCAAAGTCATCCAGGAGCTAGCAAGGCAACTAAGAATAACCTGGAAGCTACACACGGCGTACAGACCTCAAAGCTCAGGGAAGGTGGAGAGGATGAATCGAACTCTGAAGGAGACACTAGCAAAATTCCACCAAGAGACTAACCTGCCATGGCCTGATTTACTCCCCTTAGCTTTGTTCAGGGTTCGAAACGCTCTTAACTCCACGGGCTACACACCCTTCGAGCTCGTGTATGGGCGACCACCAGCAATATTGTCCATCCCGAGGGGAGAACTAAGAATAATCAGGGAAGCCAATCAGACTAGGTATCTCCAGAAACTGGGGAAGACACTAGAACAGGTACACAAGGCCGGACTAGGCCCAGACCCAGTCCCTAGAGGGGGGCCAGCGCACCCTTTTAGCCCGGAGTCAGACAAAGTTTGTGACTGGCCCTGAATACCCTGTTTGGAGCTATCAACAACCCTCTTCTTGAGGTCTCCTCTGCTGGGTCTGGGTGCATTTGGAAATAACCAAGATGCACAGCAAAGTCTGCTTTTCCATGGCCAAGGTGACAATGTACCTGAGGCAAAGACTCAAAGCACTCAGGTCTGCCTCTGCCTGCAGGCTGCTTAATCTGATTCTCTTAATGAGCCTCAGGCTATAGAAGCTCCACAGGGTGAGGCAGCTGGTTGTTATCGGTCTCTTAACAAGCCTGAGCTATAGAAACTCCTCTGGGCAAGGCAAGAGGCTATCCAGCAGGGTTGGGCAATTGTTTCCAGCCTTAGGCAAAAGCCAAAAATTTTCTGTTTGAGAAAGATGTCCCACACAGCCTGGGAAATGATTTGGCACAGGAATCTAGATCAGCATCCTCTGATCTCACTCTCCAGAGCCCACAATCCTAGACTCTCCCCACACAGCTCCAGTTTGTTCCGCTCCCCCTCCATCAGAGCCCAAGCTGAGTGGCTGCACAAAAACTTTGTGTTGGCTTTTAAAGAGGGTGCCTGCAGTTCCAACTACCTCTCCCTGGCTGACAGAAACCCTGTTGCATTTCACAGCCAGATGTTATGTGGGCACCTTTCTCAGTTCTGGGTCTCTTGGCTGGGAAGCCCAGCCTGGGGTTGAGGCCCCAGAGTCCTCAGTGGGAACCCCCACAGCTGAGATATCCCTCTGGACCTTCAGGTGCTGCCTGTGGGAGCCCAGGCTGCCCTCTCGTATCTGTACTTCCTACAGGTTTCAATGCAGTTTCCACCTTTCCTCCTTGGTGATGAGGGTGTTCTCCAGCTAGTCTTCACTTGGTTTTCAGGATGTTTTTTCTATGTTTGAGTTGTAAATCCACATTGGCCCCGGGAGAGTGTCAGTGTAGCTTCTACGCAGTCCGCCGCCATCTTGGATCTCCTCCTACAATACTTCTTCATTTGAACATTTAATCTATTTATATTTAAGGTTATTATTGATGGGTACTTCTCTATTGCTGTTTTATTTCTTTATGCCTATGTTTCTCATTCTCTCTCTTTCAACTTATTTCAGGAGTCACTCTAACATTTCTTAAAATGTTTGTTTGGTGGTCATAAATTCCTTGAGCTGTTTTTTGTCTGGAAAGCTCCTTATTTCACCATGTATTCTTAATGATAGCCTTCTGGATAGAGTATTCTTGGTTTCAAATCCTTGTTTTGCATTATCTTGAAAACTTCATGCCATTCCCTCTGGCCTGTAGAGTTTCTGATGAGAAATCAGCTGAAACATTATAGGAGCTCCTTTGTAGGTACTTACTTTTCTCTTGCTGCCTTTAAGATTCTCTTTTTGCCATGAATTTTTGGCATTTTAATTATGCTGTGTTTGAGCATGGGTCTCTTTGGGTTCTTCCTGCTTGGGAATCTCTGTGCGTCCTAAACTTGTGTGACTTATTCCTTCACCAGGTTAGGAAAATATTTTGTCATGATTTCTTCAAACAGATTCTCTAATCCTTGGTTACATTCTTTCCCTTCTTGTACTCCTATGATGCAAATATTGTTATATTTCGTGTTGTCCACAGCTTTCTTAAATCCTCCTCCTGTTTTTTAATTGGGTTTTCTTTTTGGTTCTCTTATTGCTTTTTTTCTACCCTGTCTTCTAAGTCGCTGATTCAAACCTCAGCTTCTGCTAATCTGCTGTTTATTCCTTTAACTTTATTTTTTATTTTGACCTTGTCATTCTTAATTTCCTTCATAGTTTCCATATATTTTCTCATGCTGTTGAGCATCCTTATGATTAGTATTCTGAATTCTATATCTGATAGGTTTCTTATCTCCATTTCATTTAGCTCTTCTTCTGGAGAATTCTTCTGTTCTTTCATTTGGGGCTTGTTTTTTTGTCTCCCCATTTGGCTGCCTGTTTGTATTTGTTTCTATGTATTAGCTAGATCTGCTAGGAATCCCAGTCTTTTGGATTGTCTCTTGTGAAGGACAAAGTCAGATGTTATGTGGGACTAGCCTTGAGTACCCTGTTTGAAGTTTTCTACACTCCACAGCTTGTTTCCTTGGTTGGGGCTGAGTGTGTTTGGACACGACCAAGATGTGTACCAAGGTCTGCTTTTCGAAGCCTTGGGTCCAAAAGCAAATCAGGCAAAGACTCAAAGCAGGCAGAGGTTGTTATTCAGTCTCTTAATGAAACTCAGGCTGTACAAACTCCACAGGGTGGTGGCTGATTTTTATCAGTCACTTAATGAGTCTCAGGCTATAGGAACTCTGCAGGGTGAGGAGAGAGGTTTTCCAGCAGGGTAGGGCAATTGCATCCTACCCAGGCAAAAGCTTCTTGGAAGGTAAATGTCTGCCTGAGAAAGATGTCTTCTGCAGTATGGGGGAATGACTCAGTACCCTTGATGGGTATCCTCTGAGCTCTACTTCCCCCAGCCAACTCTCCTAGATTCTCCTCACATAGCTCCAGTCCACTCTGCCTTTGTTCTGCCAGAGTCCAAGGTGAGTGCCTGCACAGGAAACTATTTGTGTTGGCCCTTTAAGAGGGCACCTGCATTTCCACCTGTGTCTCTCTGGCAGACAGAAACCCCACTGCTTGTCACAGCCAGATGTTATGTGGGCATCTTTCTCAGTTCTGGTGATCTGGGCTGGGAAGCTCAGCTTGGGGTTTAGACCTCAGAGTTCTCAGTGGGAACCCCTGCCCCCCATAGCTGAGATATATCCCTCTGGGCCTTCACCTGCTGCCTGTAGGACCCAGTCAGCCCTCTCTCGCCTCCATACTTCTTACAAGTCTCTATGCCATCTCCACTTTTTGTCCTTGGTTATGAGGGTGCTGTCCAGCTAGTCTTTAGTTGCAATTGATTATGCAGGAAGGTTTTCCTATATTTTAGTTGTAATTCTAGTTTGGTTTTGGGAGAGTGTAAGTGTAGCTTCCACTCAATCTACCACCAATTTGGAAAATGATGAGCTATGTTTACTTTAAAATGTGAATACTACATATCAAGTTCAATGTGTTTAATCATTTTGTGTTGGGTAATCTATAGTTTCTACAAAGTTAAGTTCTAAAAGATTCTTTAACACTATTTGATACCCAGTAGTGCCTAATCCTTCCAAAAAGTTAATGAACACTTTTGTTACCACTTGGTGGACATAACTCTAGGATATAAAAGTTAAGATAACTTACTGACATGATTTGTACATAGCAAACCTTTAAGTATGTGAAAAGGTTGGATTGGAGGACAAATAGAGGGAGAGACTATGCAATAAACTCACTAAGAAAAAGAGAGATAGGATGTACAAACTGTCCTCACTCATTTTAGCTCTTAGTAAAGACTGCTCGTGAATTCCCAAACCTGACTTTATATTCCACAGGTGACACCAATAGATTTATAAATGTATCCAATATTGCTTAAGAGTTTAGAATTGTGGGGATTTTTCATGTAAAATTACTGAATTATTAAAACAAAAACTATATTAGGCTCTTGAAAGTATACTGCAAGTAATTAAATAGCTACCACTTAGGTCAATATAGGAATACCAGAAGGTAACAGCACTGTCACTTTAATATTTTGTATTGTAACCAGCTTTATATGCAATTGTTGCATTCTGTTAACTTATTATATTTTATTTAATGTTAAAAATGTGGTTTCAGTTATTTGCATCTAAGAAAACATTTAAAACCTCAGAGGCCCAAGTTTATCCCAACACTTCCTATATTTTTAAGTTCATTACATTTCCATAGGTAAATAGCCCACTTTGAGAATAACGGCCTACACGATTTATTATGTTACCTTTTTATTTGATTTTTTAATTTTGTACTTTGCTAACACTGTACTCATAAACTCTTTTTTGTCCTTATACATAACATTTTCTATGTAGTTTTGATAGCTAATATATCAACTAGTTTGATAAACCCCATTATCAATGTGAATAAGGTACTTACATTAATAAGAATGTGACCTCATGGGACTTTTGAAACAAAACTTTTTTTTTCCATAACACAAATCTTTGTAGTAGTTCATTAGGATCCCCGGTAGATAAAATCTTATTCTGATCTGACCAGAGGTCCAAAGATGTTAACATAGCAGTCACTTTCAGCTGGGAAAACATCTGAAAACAAAAGATGCATGACCAACAGTTTAGGCAATCACATATATAACATTACATCTCTATACATAATGCCAATATATTCAATTTACTATTATTTGAGATGAAATCCATTGGTGGTGAAACTGGTTGGTAGGACTATACATTTTATAAAAATGTGCTATTTTTGTAAGTGCTATTTATACAATGTTATTGCATTAATACAATGGTTCTTATTTGAAATATGAAACGAACACTTACAGTGTTGATAAGACCAAAGATATGGACAACTTTCTCAGTTGCAACCGCCACTTCAGAGCCCATATAATCATACTGAAAGACAAATTCTGTTTCTTAATCACTAGTGAAAATTACTAAGTTACCACATTTTCAGTAGATAAAAAATGTTACAGTAAGTGCTTAAGTGAAAGGACAAAAGCAGAAGATTAAGATTTATCAAATGCTTAATAAGTTTTAGGCAGAAATCTAGGGCCTTTACATATTAATCAATAATATCAAAATGATAGTGTTATGATTATCTTCCTGTTTACACATATAGAAATTAAGGGTCAAAAGTTAAGATTCCAAGATGGTAAAAATACTAAAGATAAGAACCAGAAATGAAATCTCTCATAAAACCACTAAGTCTTTTGGTCTAACATAGAGTTCTGAGTACCATAATGGTGAACAATTTTAAGAATATCTCTTTATTTAAAGGAACAAAAATCATATTTTACATGAAATCCTTCTTATTGTGAGGTCACATACATTTCTAAGTGTTTGGGAAAGGGTAAGAACTGGCAGTTTGAGGTTTTCAATAATCTCCAGCAAGTCTGTAGAAGATTAATGACAGAAAATAAAATGCAATGGTCAGAGTTCTCTGATATAGACAAAAAAGATGATGCTATTCTCCTAGCTCTATGGAGACTGTACTTTTCTATTTATCTGTATATTTCCTTTCTCAACAAATCACATTGTAAATTTACCCAATGTGGCATGTGTGTGGTATGAGTGAAGGTGATCCTTTGTAAGGTTAAACATGTGAAAAACAAGGGAAAAGAAATAAAAATGTGATTATGGAAATGAGTCTGCATACATCAATAATCACAAATTCGCAATACTCAAAGTGATAAAAACTATTAAAAAGCCACTATGTACAAATAAAAATTTAAAAATACCTGCATTACAAAGACATAGAAATATTAAAAGTATGAAAATATATACCAGAAAACTACTAGACATAAAGCAGATGTCATATAATATATAGTTATATTAATTAATATAATAGTTGCATTAATATAAAAAAGCTTAAGGCAAAAATGAACATAATAATTATCAATATAGTTGAATATTGATAAAATGTTCAATTCATCAGAAATATGGCAGCATTTTAAACTTGATGGTAACTAATAACATTGCAACAAAATGTATAAAATAAACAGAATTATAAATAGAAAGTAATTATCAGAGTAAGGGATTTTTAAATAGTTCCCTTAATCATTAATAAATCTAGGCTGACTTGCTGTCATGGTGACAGGTTAGGTAAGTGTTGAGCTTGCCTTCTCTCACAACCACATCAGAATTACAACTACATTACGAACAACAAAGAGAAACTCCTGAAGACTAACAGAAGTCCGATAACTAAGGATAAAAAGAAGAAGCCATGACAAAAGTGGTATGAGGAACAGAGATGCTGAACAGGCTGGTGCCACACCCACAGTGTGCAGTTACAAAACGAGAGGGTTTTCTCAGCTAAGGAGGTCCCCTCTGAGGAGCAAAAGGTTGCAGCATCACACAATCTTCCGGATCTAGGACTCCGGGGCTAGAAAGAGAAGTCCCCATGACATTTGGCAATGAAAACTAGTGGGCATTGCAGCTGAGTGAAACAGAAAATGGCTGGAGATCTAGAAGCTGCAGATTTTAAAGGGATTGGCAGCAGACTCAATCACTCTCAAATTCATCCTCTCTGAACTCCAGCACTAGGACAGCAACTTGCAAAGTGCCAGGAACTTACAAGGAGGAGCTGAATTAACTAACTTCAGAGTGAAGACACTATAGTTCCTTTGTTGAGCTCTTTCTTTACCCACCCAGCAGGTATACACAGGTGCCAAATCTTACTTCTCCATTAAATTGGACAACACCCTTTATCCCACGCTGGTGATTCCCTGAAACAGCACCCCACCAGACTCACACACCCTGCCTGAACCTTTCCCAACAGCTTTTCCACACAAGCCACCCTCCCTGGCAGCTGGCCTTGGGCATACCATATACCTCTTACTAAGTGGTCCCAACCCAGCCTTAGTTCTCAGCCTGGCCACCCCCAGGTGCCTCCAAGCATAGCAGAGGCAACCAACTACGGATTACTTTGTATATCCTACCAGGTGTCCCCTAAAAGACACAGGAAGTTGCAGACATTAACATGCATAAGAGTCCTTCTCATGAGACTCTAGAATCAACACACCCAATGGCTGGCTTTAGACCACAGCAGGACACCACCCAATCAGGTTCAAAAAAGACAAACCCATAGGGCAGACACAGCAGGCACCAGATCCCTGCTAAAGCAAATCTCACCTTGTTGGGACAGTCCTTGAACAATAGCTCATCTGTTGAGGTCATTACCATTCCTCAAAGTCAGTCAGCCTTAGGGTCAATCCCACCCACTGAAATTTGAACAGCAATCAAGGGTTAACTTCAACAAGAGGCACACATAACCCACAAAAGAGAAACCCCTGGAGCACCTGGCTCAGGTAACCATGGAGACTTGCTAGTGGACACTACAATATACCAACTAGATAAAGCCTTTCTGCCAAGAGTAGGAGACATAGCTGATACACCAAAAACATGAACAAACAGTGAGTTAGCTAATTCAAGGAGACATGAGCCCAGTCCGGCGTCGCTCAGCGGTTGAGCGTCGACCTAGGAGATCATGGTTTGATTCCCAGTCAGGGCACATGCCCGGGTTGCGGGCTACAGCCGATCAATGACTCTCTCATCATTGATGTTTCTCTCTCTGTCTCTCCCTCTCCATTCCTCTCTCTGAAGTCAATAAAGATATATTTAAAAAAAAAAAAAAAAAAAGGAGACATGAAACACGTCCCAAAAGAAAAACACAGAACAAAACTCCAGAAAAAGAACAAAATGAATTGGACAAAAGCAATCTATCACATGAAGAATACAAAACACTGGTTATAAGAATGCTCAGTGAATTAGAGGAAGAATAGGTAAACTCAGGGAAAACTTCAACAAAGAGGTAAGAAATAAAAAATGAAGATAGAAAACAGAAAAGGAATCAGGGAGAAATGAAGAATACAATAACTAAAATAANGTAAACTCAGGGAAAACTTCAACAAAGAGGTAAGAAATAAAAAATGAAGATAGAAAACAGAAAAGGAATCAGGGAGAAATGAAGAATACAATAACTAAAATAAAGAATACATCGGGGGGAATTAATAGTAGATTAGATGAAGTAGAGATTCAAGTAAGTGATCTGGAAGACAAGGTCAGGGAAAACACCCAAAAAGAACAGAAAAGAAAAAAAAAAGTTGTTTAAGGGCCCTCTGCGACTACATCAAGCATACTAACATTTACATTATAGAGGTACCAGAAGAAAGAGAAAGAGAGAGCAAGGACTGAAAAGCTTTTGGGGAAAAAAATAACAGAAAAGTTCTCTAACCTGGTAAAGAAAGTAGACATACA